CACCATACTTCATTCCAATCTTCTGCCACAGGTAGGAGCCAACAACTCTTTGAAGGGGTAAGCAAGGGTCTGAAATAGCCAGTGACACAAGGGAAGGAAATCACAACCCTTTATCACATCCATGGATTTTTCTTTCTGCTCTTTTTAACACTAGGAAAGAAAAATCAATGAGAATTCATCTTTGATGAATTACCAGTTTTAACTTCCCATCAAAGTTACGGGTTCACAGTAGCTGTTCAGGAAAGCATAATAAGCAGCCACACTTCTTATCTGGCAGTCAATACCAAAACTTAGTCATCCGGTTTCCTATCACTGATTTATATATGCAAGAAAAGAATACAAATAGTCTTTGATTATTCTGGATTAGCTGCATTGGAAATACTGCAGAAGAGCTCATTTATAATTAGCAAGTGATAGAGCATGACTTTGGGGTTAGTCCACACCACTATGCTTTACACTGTTTGTAATCTGAAAGAAAAGTTCATCCTCTGGAGAAAAGGAAAGGGTAGAGGGAGGAGGTCAAGTTGTATTTCAAGCCTGTTCCATTTTTTCCTTTTCTTTCTTTCCCCGGGGGAAAGAGGAAGTCATCAAATAAGGCGACATAAGTTTTTACTCTGACTCCTGGGGATTAAAGAAAGCAAAGAACCTCCAAGCGCAGCCCTCTGATACTAAAAGCAACAACAGTATTACTACTCTGTATCTTTCCAGTTAACAAAGGATATTATTAACCTATGCTAATTCAAAATACACTCTTTAGAGAAGACAGACTAAATACTACTCTGGGAAAGTTTTTCCCAGTAGCCCAGAGTATCTAATGAAATGCTAATTTATTCAAAGTAATGCCAAAAGGCAAACTACTAATTAGATAAATGTTCTGCTGTCACTATGGAGATTAGGGGATTTGCCCACAATTTCCAATTATACTGCATAATTAGGGAAAAAGAACTGTGCTTTACTAATATCTTATGACTTTAGTATATAAAAAGCACGATGAGAACAGGAAGTACTTCACGTACAAAATAAAGACGAATAAGTACATTCTACCTATTTTCATCTCATCTCCATAGTTTCAGCTGAACATAGTATTCATTCAGGCTTTAAAGCACTGTACATTGTATGCTGTATCCATTAATAGGAGCGTTGGGAGAAACGGCAGTATCTTTTATTTCCATTACTCAACACTGAGTCTTGCCAAAAAGATTTTTGTCTTCTCTTGAATGTGTACACACAGAGATGGAAGGGAGCAAAACAAAACTTTTAAAAGGACTTTAAGTATTAAGGTAATGAACTCCAAAATCATCCTTATATAAGATCACTTTGCTACTTTGCCTCCAAGCTTCACTTGTACACATATTCTACAGGAAGAATACAAAAAGGGAAGCCACCTTATGAATAATTTTTAATTACTAAATTGCCTGCCTTTTTCAACACAAAGGATGGCTGGTGTTCACTCATTAGTGCTTATTAGTAGCAATTCAGGATGTTGATCTCTCTGCTCTGTTCAATGTTAATCCCGTGTTTATCTGCTATGCATCAATTCTCCTGTCTCTGGAGACCCCCACAAATGGCCCCATCTAGTTCATTCATTACATGCTCTTCCCATTGATCATAATTCACATTAAAATCCTTATTAACACCCATCTTCTCTTAGGACAATCAAAAGACAGAATGAGTAAAGACAGTCGTTCAAAGAACGTTTAACTGAGCTGTTTCTATCATTATGAACGAGACTACTATTCAACTTTTTTGAAATTAATTCCATTTATTTATTCATTTATTACTTTGTTCTTCACAATTCTGTTTAACTCTTCAATATTCCCTACTGGTCCCAAAATTCAGATCATCGTTTTGTTATTAAACTGCATAACCAGTTTATACTATTGCCGCAAGGTCAAACTCTTCAAGATCTTTTCATAAACCATTTTTTTTCTAAAATCTCTCTTGTCCACCCTGCTTCTCCGCAGCTGTTCTCAGAGCAGAACCATGTTGTACTTTCAATAAGGTAAGACATGAAGAATTAAGAAGTATGTGATCATATCACTAATAACCACATCATAAGGTATATGCCCAAATGAGGGGGGGAATAATCAAGGTTACATTCACAATTCTATGTACCGTAAATGTTTAAGTCTTTTAATCACCATCTCCACAGAAGTAGTTAAGAATAGCTTTTTTGAAAAGTGAAACAGAATGATAGTTTCAGCAAAAGAAATTTTATTTATGCCCTTGTGGGTGATCATCAGTTTGAAACTCTTTAAATAACCATGAAATAGAGTTTCCCAACAGAAGAATGGAAGTGTAAGAAAATGTAAGGGAAATGTAAGAAAAATGAACAGGAATGACATAAAAAGACCGTAAAACTAGGAGCAATAGTTACTCTATTATAAGGTTGTAGTTACACTGTTATAAGTTTCATTCTAAAAAGTTAAACACAATTAATTATGCAAAAGCAAACAAACATCCAGTTAAACAGCTGAAGTATCAGAACATTTAAAAGCGGAGCTTCCGACTCCTCCGTCCTTCCCCATTTAACCAATTACAGAGTGAAACCTTACGAGAGAAGGGTGTCCTGGCTTTGATGATAACCAGAAACAGGCACAGCAAAGTCAGAGCTGCAGAGCTCAGGCTCTGCCGTGCCTCAGGGGTTGTCCCCACCTCACCAGTACCTGGAGAGCCCTCAGCAGCAATGCGCCCATCTGCCACACGAACACACACAGGTTGAAAAAGGTTAAGGAACCAACTCATGCAAATGTTCTGCATAGGCTGCCAGGAAATCAAAAATATAGGGCAGAGGCTCCGTTTATCATCATCTTTTGCAGGTAACCCAATCTAGCTAGCAGTGGCTAGTCCCTCAACCTGCAGGGCCAAAATAGTTTTTATTGCCATGCTGTCAAGCTTAAGACGACTCAAGACAGTTTGATAGTAGTATACCAGTAATGACTTTTTCCTTGTTTCAAACACTGACCCACAGAAAGAGGTTAACACCCATTTATCTTCATAAAGAAGCCCTTGTTGCTGTGCAATAAGAAAGCTCATCATTTCTCCAAATTTCAGAGTTGAAGCACATCACCAAAAGGAGCAAGAAACAGCAGGGGAAAAAAAGAACAGCAGCAAGAAAAGCTGACGATCAGCCAGTTACCAAATGCCAATAAATGACCGCTGCTGCCACTTTCAGTTAAATGAATGGTGGGGGGAAAATAAATAAATCCAAGTTCAGTCATTGTTTTCATCTATTGCCTTTAGCTTCTTACAATCCAAGAGAAACACCTAAAACCAGAGGGTGGAGCGGTACAAGGAGAGAAGAATGAAGTGCCTGCTTCCAAACACACACAACCCTCATGTCCATCCACAGACCAAGTACTGCCACCCATCCCTCTTCATGCACTCCACGTACACACCAGTCTTCTCACTGGAGAAGCCCAGTGGATAAATAATTCAACACAGAGGCAACACAAACCTTACCATGCCAAGAGAAACTCCTGCAAGTCTGTTTTCTCTTCCTCCAGAAGGCTTTGCTAGATTAGCAGGCATCCAAAGTGGACTTTCCTTTAGCTTGTTTTAACTTCTCTGCCAACCTTCTGCTGCCTTGGGACAGAGTTTAAGCAGGGGGAAGTGCCAGAGGCACCCTCACACCTTTTCAAAAAGCACAGCAGAGACAAAAGCCATTAGAAAGCTTCTCCTCATCCTTGTTTGTTCGAAGACCACAGAGCTGTATTTTTCAACATTCAGAGAGGTGCTCTTTCCACACCCCCAAACCTCTGCCTTGAGAATCCCTGCAGGAGAACGTATTTTGGAGAAGTCTCTCCTAAATGCCAAGATACTACCAAGTCAGCAGCCAGTGTGTGCAAAGATAGAGCCAAACGTTTTTATAATTTTATCTTCCGTTTAAATAAAGGTAGGCACCATTCAAAAATTCAGTTCAGATGGTGATTAACGATCACATTCATAGGATGAGGTGCCCTACATTACAAAATAGGAGGTTACGCTTGTTTACTAGTGTTACTACAAATCATCAGAACCACTCGACTTCGCAGCCAGTAGCTGGAAGTACAACCAACTCTCACCAGATTTCCCAT